ATTATATTAATTATTACATTGAGTAAAAAACAGCTGTGTGTAATTTAAGTTAAATGTAAATTTTATAAATAGTTACAAAAATACTTTGCGCTTTTAAATCCATGGTTATAAAATAATAAAGAGTAAATTTCTAAACAAAAATTACAATTCCTTGTTGCGCTGTTATTGGTTGCTCTAGCAATAACAAATCGGGTTCTCATATATCGCTTCATAGATTACCCTTAGATCCAATAATTGCAGCTTTATGGAAAAAGGTGATTGGGTTATATAATATTTCCGATGATTCATGAGTGTGTTCTCTACATTTTGATGCAAGCTGTTTTGACAAATCTAAAGAACAATTAAATAAACCAAGCACTAGGAAGAGACTTATTTTTCCAAAATCAGTATCTTTTATATTTCTTGGCGACAATAATTTGATAAAGGTTATTTATTTATTTTTTTAATTGTTTTTCTTATTTCATCTATATAAATAGTGTTATTTTAAAATAATAAACCATCACCCCATGGTTTCTCATTTTTTACATTGATGGCTCCATGTTGCCATGGCCTATATTGCCCATCTCATGTCCCTCTTCTTCGGTGGCCGATATGGGTGATGTTGTAATAGGAGGCCATATCATGTTATGATAGAGACATATATTGTCCTCTTGGCCCCTATCGCATTGGATTTTTTTAATCTTTACTGGTTTTCTTCATCTTTTTTTTTAAAGGTTCAAATAAGTATGTAATTGCCAACATTTCAACCGTCTAGTTATCAAAATGCAGATGAAAAGTATAACACATCAAAAACATCGCACAGTGGGCCAGGTGGTGGACAAAACCTCAAAAATGAAAGTTTATTATTTGAAAAACCATGTAATAAAACTCTATTGTGTTATTCAAAAATTTATTTGAGTATAATAATATCTTTCAAAACCGCAAAAATTAATTGCGGCTATATGTATAAAAAATTACTTTTTTTTACAAATAACCGCATTTTTTAAATCGTAATCATTTTTGGTATAAAAAAGCTAAAAATGATGCCATTCAGAATGTAGGGGCAATAGGTTTTAAAATTAATATATAATACTTAGACTAGATTATAATTGTTCTATAGGCTTCACATCATAACTGATTTCACATCATAAATTAATTCACATCATCTTTATATTTAAAACGAAATGAGCATTTTATAAGAACTTGAACTCAAATATAAAAAATTAAAGTTTGTTGAAATATTTTCTGTTTATGCAATAATTTAACTAGACATTAAAAGATCTTTAGTAAAAAAAAAAAAAAAATGAAAATAGTTTTGTCCACCATAAATCTAATATCTGACCCACTGTGCATCGTTTCGATAGGAAATATGGAGTAATAAAAGAAAAGTTGAAATTATGGTTCTGGCGGCATTAGCTTCCTTAACTTTCGTTTTAGTCTCTCCTCCAATTTTTTGGACTTTCCATAACCATTATATATATTGGATGTTATAATAATGGAAATACAAATAATGAAATAAGATCGCCTCAATACCAAAATATACATTTTTGAAAATCAGAGAAAATATGCGTTAATATTTTTTTTTTAATATTTACAAAGTAAATTAATAAAAGTGCATTATTATTTTAGGTTAAAAATGATTTTATCTAATATTTTGAAAGAAAAAATTATAATAAAAGAAATCAAAATATATGTGGTCTAGATTATTATTTAAAAAAAGTTGCGCAAATAAAATACCATTTTGTTTTTAATTTTTTTACAAACATATTTTAGAACTTTAAAATATGATAAAAATGAATATGATTTGGAAATTGTATGTAAAAAAAAAAAACAATCGGTGTTTTAAACAAACAAACAAAAAATCTATGATGTCATACACTAAAAATCCTATAAATTAAACGCGCTTGAATAAATTATCAAGTTTGCACAATGCGCCTGGAAAATCGCATTTATTTTACAGACTCCAAATACCGAAGAAAATGGAGAAAACCAGCTTTGACTAAAACAACAAGATTTGTTTTTCTTGGTATACATTTATTAATTAGTTTTAATAAAAAAAATTTGCTCAGACATTTTTTTTTTAACATTCTCTTTAATATGAACACAACATGCCTCAGGACTTGGTAGTCCCTTTAAGAATTAAAAAACATACTAGTAACTTTTTTCTGTTTTAAATACTAATTAAAATTAAAAAGCCCACTCACTAAACATCATCAGCGGTATTGTGAAGCAGTTCCGCTTCCTCCTCATAAAGTATATTTAACCTTTTTAGTTGATTTCTATCTAGTTAATTTAATTTCTACAGTAACTCAATGATTTAATTATTTCATTTGTTTATCTTACTAAGAAGAATTGTTTAAAATATGTTAAACTTTTCAAACTACGCAAAGCATAAAATAGTTTTATGCTTTATAAAACTAGCATTAGTTTTATTAGAATCTTGTTGGACTTTTTGGGACCAGGGGCTATTTTTATTTTGGAGGCCTTTTTTATGTGCCACAGCATAAAAATGACTAATAAAAAAGGTCTTCTTGACTATTTCGTGGCCCCTAACATTGTGGGACTCAGGGCTATAGTCCCCCTCTAACCTAAACCCTTCTTAATCCAGCAATGGAAATAAGATATGAGTTATAAATAAAAATTATATTATACTCATGGATAAATAAAAGAACATTTGTTTCCTTATTAAGCAATCTTAAGATGTTACTTTATATAAAAAAAGTCACTTAATTTTATAAAAAAATTATAAAAGAGCAATGCTTCGAAAATATTTGTACTAAACGTAATTTATTTTGTTAAAAGTTTTTTCGCGCTAAAAGTTTTTTTCTTTTCCTAGTTTATTTATTTTTTTTTGTAACTGTCTCTCATCGGTCCAATTAATCTTTTTTGCACTTTTGTTTTGTTTTGCAACTAAATATTATTTCTGTCGTCAGTAATCCAAAGCGATCATTCCCGCTTCCCAACCAAGTCTGTAAACCCAGTCAATTTTCTGATGCTTTTAGAACATTGTCTTGTATTCAAGATTGTCACACTTGTTACGATTGTCCTGAAAATACAAGACAAAGTATTTTGCAAAAAACTGCAACAACAAAAAAAGTACAAAAGACAATTTTTGCATCATTCAGAGGAACATAAAATAATGTTATTAGTTTCATTTCAAATGTAATAAATAAAACTAACAATTTTACTTCAGGTCTAAATTTATATTATATCTACAAAAAGGCACCAAAAAAGCTTTGTAAACTAAAAATGATTTACAATTCTTACAAATAAGTGAAATTTAACATTGATCCTAGGAACGTAATAGACCACAAAACTGCTGCTATAAAAATGTTTTTTGACAAGTTGAGAATTTATATTAAGAATTTTGAAAATTTGGAAAAAGGTCTAAAAAAGGTGTTGAAAAATTTAAAGAGAGAAATAACTGTAGCAAATAAAGTGGAGTGATTTGGATGATTGGGAACAAACAATGGCTTGCAATAATAAAAACATATTAATAATTTGGAAAGTTGTTTTAGTGGAAAAGTTGAACAAAATGATTAGATTAAGATGAGAAAAAGTAGCTACATTAGCTTAACTAGGACCGTTATACTTTTAAATTAGCAACATTATAAGTTAATTAGTCTCCCCATGACCCTGGAACATGACATTTTAAGCTCTTTTATTGATGTAGCAGTATTCACAAGATTAGTATTTACAATGTAGATAAATATATATAGTAATATAAATATAATATAAAAAATGATAACCAAATACAAAATATGGTGAAACATAAATAAAAACAAGTGTGAAACCAATATGATATAAAAACATTTTTGTGTCTGAAGAAAACATTGATGACTGCAACAGAAAAACTGTATACACCTTTTAAAGGCTTGGGGGCAAAGACTACTTAAAAAAAAATTATTACAACCCAATCAAACCTTCAACTCTGAAGTATGAACCTTGAAAAACAACTTTTTTTTACTTAAAAAACAACTTTTTTTTAATGTGCAAATTTGCACAACACAGAGTTAATTGTGTTTAGAAATTGCTAATTAGAAAAAATAAAAAAAAAAAGTTGTGCAGTAGTAATGTAATGGTAAAGCAATCGCCTCTTAAGCGAGAAGTTCAGAGTTTGATCTAACCCCACATCCCTGGTAGTATCGTGCTCAACTGGTTTCTCCAAGCAGGCCTTGTTTGCCAAGGTTCGTATTTCAGAGTTATTGATTATAGTGAGGGTTGTAACCATATCTAAAAATAGCCCCCTCAACTTGGGGAAGTGAATTAAAATAAAATTTTAAAAAAATTAAATTAAATTTAAGAAATTTGGTTCAAATCTGTAAACAAATTGAGAAAGTACAGTTAAACATTTTTGTCAAACATATTCCAAAACTATATTTTTTTGTCAATGATCTAAATAAATTAAAGAATATGTTTAAAATGCATTAAAATGGATAAAAATTATTAAATGCAAATTTCTTTTCATCTGGAGAGAATTCACAATAAAAAGTGATAGTAGTCTGTACCAAGAAAGTCAGAAGGTAAAAATAAATACTGCTACAAAGTACTGCTAATATAATAATAATAATAATAATAATAATATTAATAAAAATAATAATAATAACAGTAATAATAATAATAATAATAATAATAATAATAATAATAATAATAATAATAATAATAATAACATCAATAATAATAATAGTAATAATAATAATAATATTATTTTACAAAAAAAATTACCATAATAAACATGCTGATTTTTTATTAAAACCTTATCACAAAAAATGTTTTTTTTCAAAACCATGTAACGATCCTGTTTATAAGCACAAACAACTAACCTCTATATATTTTAAGCCTAGATACACACCATTACAGTAAAAACTTTTATGCAGTTTAAGATTTAAATATTTTACTTTGTTTTTTTGCTGTGAATTAAATTTATATAATAAATACATAATGTAAAATAGCAAAATGGTGTATAACAACTTCTACAGAAAAAAAAAATAATAAGTTTTTTGTAGGAAAACTTAAAATACCTGGCATTCATTTTTATCCACTTTTTGGATCTCAGCTCTATAATACTCATCATCTTCGCTAAATGTAGTCACACATTGAAGACCAACAACAGGGTTAGCTATTAAGTCAGTATTTTCTGAATTTTTGTATACTGTCTTTATATCACTCATAAGTCGAAGAAGCTTTTCTGAAGAGTGAGATAAATGCACAAAAAATTTGTTTGGACTAAAACTAGTAATAATAAAAACTGTTTCTTCTTTTCCGATATCAATATTTGGTGATATAAAACTAATTACAGATTCAACATTACTCTTAAAACCAATTGACTGAGAGCTTAGTGATTGGTTGGCTTTCTCTAAAGTTGGCATACCAGTTGCTGCCACTAATTTTTCATTAACCAATATTTGATTAATTGGATTATTTTTGTTATCATATAATATTACATCAGTTGATTGTTCTGAAATATGCATTATTAATGCAGATAATGAATATTCAGTAAATGCAAGTTTTTGAAACAGAAAATTTGCTTCTTCTGAATACTTAGTTTCAGTTTCAAGAGGTTTTATTCCTGAAAGTGAACAACAAAATGCCATTGATGGTATTGCACAAAAATCAGGACTTAATTCTTTTATATCAGTTTTATTAATAACCTCAGTATTTCCATAATCAACAAAAAAAATGTCACATGTATTTATTTGCGTACTTTTTATTAATCCTCTGTACCATTGATTATCTTCAGAAAATTTAGCACAACAAGGTTGATCTGTTTCAAAAGTTGTTAAGCTATTTCTTACATTAATACATTGCAGTTGCTCTTGTAGATTAAACAGCTTTTCTTTGGAAGATGTAGATTGGCAATAAAATTCATTCAAACTTTGAAAAAAGACAACATATACATCAAGACACTTTTGTGGACTAATTTCTGAAAACATGGGGATTACACTTTTAACAGATTTTATGGAACCAGGAATACTGTTAGATGCAGAGTTTGAAGAAGAGTGTTGTTTTATGTAACCAACACTTTCAATTGATGATTTTAATGGTTTTGGGAGTGCAAAACCTGTAGAAATAAGTTGATCGGCAAGGGTAACTAAAGCATCTAAATTTGTATAAAGTTTTATCAATAAAATGTTTCTGTTATAAAGACGAACTGCAATACCAGCAACTTCTTTGTCTATTACTTGTTTTTTTATCAGCTCTATTGCACTATCATTCCATTTATTATTGTTAAGAACAGGCTCAATATCTGCTAGCATACATTCATGTGCAAATGCAGGAATATCAAAAAATTGTGGAGGGAGATCTCGTAATGAATCAAATGAAATAAAATCATTAATTCCAATATCTAGAAAAAATACTTCAACATGTCGAATCGTTTTTTCAACATAAATAATTTGCGATCGATACCAAGCTTTATTGATTGAAGACTGACCCAAACAAAGTTCACCTATGACAGGATCCAAAATTCTTTTTTCAAGCATATTAGAATTTACTAAAAATTTGATTCCTTCTTCCATCCTCTCATACTTAGCAGCAACAGAGGGTTCGGATAGTTGGCAAAATATATGTCCATTTACAGGATCAACATAAGTGGTTCTCCACTTAGTTATTTTACCAAATGGTAAAGCTTCCATGGAAGATTGGCTACGTACGCTCATGTTTGTGACAAGAAATCAAGCACGCTGGAAGAAATCAATTAAAAAAAATCTAATTTGTTATTTATTAGTCATTTATTTAAACTACTTTTAAATAACTGCGGGAAAAAATCTATCATTCACTAACATCCGTATTCTTAGAAGAAACTTTTCTTTTGCTAAGTCTTATCTCCATCAAAGTTCACCAGACCTACTTGCTCATTGTGAAACTAATTATATTTCAGTTGTCTCACCTTGTGATCTTAGTGTCGATGGTTATTTTCCTTTAACTCGTAAACTTTACAACGTCTATATCGCCAACAGAAACATGCGATTCGCGTGATTAATTATGTGGATCGCTCTACACATTCAAAGCCTTTCTTTGATGAAATGAAAATACTTAATGTCTACAAACTTAATGTTTTCAATGTTTTATGTTTTACTTATATGTGGAAAAACAATTTATCCCTACCTGTTTTTAACGACCTTTTTACATTAAAACTTACTAATAAGTACTCACTAAGAAATAAAGATTTGCTAAATGAACCATTTTGTAGAACAAATTTTAATAAATTTTGTATTAATTATAGAGCACCTTACCTTTGGAATAAAATAGTTCTGCCTAATTTTGATCCTTTTATCCGTTTTTCTGTTTTTAAAAATGAATTAAAAAAATTCATTCTTGCTATGGATGACATTTTAAGTTACTATTAGCTTGAAGTATAAACTTGATTTATAAGATTTATAATAATATTTATATTAATAAATTTATTTTCTTTAATTTATATCAGATCTATAAAATTTATTATTATGGATTATTATAACAAATTTGTGAGAATTATTATTACAGATACGTGATTAATATTATGAATTTATTATTATATATTTATTATTACGGCCGTTTTTGGATTTATATTTTCAGTTTTATGGTATGATAAAATTGTAAAGGTTCTGATGATAAGATCAGTAGATCTTCTTTCAGAAGCCTTGTTTTCTTTGTTCTTGTAAAATATAGTATTTATTTTACGGCAAATGTAAACAGAAAAAAAATAATAATAATAAAATAAAATAAAGACTCCAATGACCACATGCTTGGCCTGGGCATTTACATTCGTAAAAATGCATCCATTTGTCGAGACACTAGGTTTGAATCCACAGACTATTCTTTTATGTGCTTTCATTTAGTGCCACCTCACTCTATCACCTTTTTCTTTGTTTTATATCTCTCTCCTCAACTAAAGACTTTTGGACGTTATTTCTGATCAAATTAATCAAACCCTTTCTCTTTATAATTCAGCCAATATCATTTTTGTCGGTGACTTTAATGTTCATCACACTGAATAGCTTGGTTCTAGTGTCAGTGAATCTTCAGGTGTTAAAACCCACAACTTTTACCTTTCTCAATCTCTAACATAAATTTTCAATTTTCCAATTCGCTTTCCAGACAATCCGAATCATTTACCTTCTCTACTCGACTTATGTCTTGTTTCTGATTCTTATCAGCGCTCAGTTTCTCCACATTCACCCTTAGGTGCTTCTGATCACATTTTGATTTTTCTAAAACTATTATCTCATTCTTCTTCATCAAAATCTTCTTTCATTGTACCTCTTACAATTACTTTAAAGCTGACTGGGACTCTTTCCATGATTTTCTTTGTGATAGCTCTTTATCGATAAAACAATTCCCCAGAATATTGACGTCTCTTTAGTGTTGCTAAAAACCGAAGAAGGTTTTATCTAACGTCAAAATCTGCTATTCTCAGGTCACAAAATATTGTATTTCATCTCAAAAATTAGGCTCTAGAGACTTCTGAAGAATCTTTAATAGTGTCTATAATAAGGGCGAATCTGTTATTCTACCTCTCTTGCATGGTTCAGATTTTTGTTACCTCACCTAAAGACAAATCTGAATTGTTTGCCAAGAACTTTTCATCAATCTTATTTATTGATTCCGTAAAATCACATCCTACTTAATACAGCCGACAAACAGGTTGATATAGCCAGACAATCGATTGTTTGACATTCGTATCACTCCAGCTTCTATATCTAAAGTGATTTCCTGCTTTCACTCTTCTACAGTTTATGGTCTCGGACAACATACCTGCTATAGTTTTACAGAAATGTTCTCCAGAGTTGACGTTTATACTTTCAAAACTTTTTTAACAAGTGCTTATCAGTCTTGTTTTCTAGCCTACTGGAAAACAGCATCTGTTACTCCTAAATAGGGATAACAGATGCTGTTTGTAAATAGGGATAACAGGACTAACTACAGTCCCATTAATCTTCTTTCTATCGCAAGCAAGATTTTTGAATCTTTAACTAACAAACACTAAATCTCTCATCTTGAATCTAATAACTTACCTTCTGATTATCAATATATATTTCAATCTTCTCGTTCTACTGCTGACTTGTTAACGGTAATAACCAATAGATAGGTAGTAAGATAAATTTTATCGTGCATTAGAAAGATGCGGAGAGGTTAAAGCTATTGCTCTCGACATTTCTATAGCTTTTAATTAAGTTTCACAGGATGGTCTTTTCCATAAGTTTTCTTGTAATGGTGTATCAAGTAACATCTTTAAGATTATTGAATCCTTCCTAACCAATCGTAGCATAAAAGTTGTGCATGATGGACATTATTAACGACCTCTCAGAAGTTCTCACATCTAAGGTTGCATTATTTACTGATGATACTACCATATTTATTCTTGTCTTGATAAGAAGCCAACATTCTCTGATTGCTTGGAGGGGGTATTTGTGCTTTAAAAAATCTCAATTCTACTACAGCATGGGGCTCTCAATGGCTGGTGAACTTTAACTCAGATAAAACTCAATTTGTTTAGCTAATTTTTATCGTAACAATTTAGATCTTTCTATATTTACGAACGGTAATGTACTCAATGAGTCATCTACCATTCGTATTTTAGGATTAACTTTTACATCTATTTTTTCTTGGAAGCCATATATCAAATCCATTGCAAAATTACCATCAGCTAAGGTTGCATTTGTTTATTGTGCTCGCAACTTTCTTACTTCGGATTCTACCCTTTTATTTCTATAAATATCAAATCCGTCCTTGTATTGAATACTGTTGCCATATCTGGAGCGTTTCATCGAATGATGCCCTTTCCCATTTATAAACGGTGCAAATATGCATTATAAACATAGTTGGACATGTTCTTGCTACCAACCTGAAACCATTGTCACATCTTCATAATGTTGATGTAAATCTATTTCTCTTTTTTGTAAATACTATAATTTGTACTGCTATAAAGAGTTAGCTTCTCTTGTGCTATCTACCAAAGTTTCATCTTTTTACTATGACTGACCCTAAGTGTTTAATTTTTATTTGTCTAGTTTTTTTCCTAGAACATCAGCTCTTTCCCTCATCTTGTTTTCCTGATTAATATAATTTGCAATCTTTCAATTCATCTGTTAATCGTTATCTAGCTCTGTAGACTTTATCTTTTCTCTTCCAGTAACTTCCAACTCTAATAGTAGTTGCTAGCAGCCTTGTTGGAAGTGAAGATATTTAAAAAAATAAAAAAAGCTCTTGCGTGTTTATAAAATTTAATTGCTGAATTCAAAGTTTTTAGGAGTTCTAATTGACGAACATATCTCCTGGAAACCCCACATAAACTACGTTTACACAAAAATATCAAAGAACATTGGTTTGCTATACAAGGCAAGACCATTTTTGTCACAAAAAAGTCTAAAACTTGTCTACTTTTTATTCATACATAGCTACCTGATGTACTCCAATATAGCATGGGGCAGTACCCACAAATCTAAATTAGTACCACTTTATCTACATCAAAAACACGCTCCAAGACTAATATACAACAAAAATAAATTTGCTCATGCTCAACCCCTTATTGAAACAAATGAATGCACTAATATATTTCAAATAAATATTTTTCAAAATATACTTTTTATGTTTAAATATAAACTAAATCTGGTTCCAGAACATTTTACAGCACACTTTTTTAAAAACAATATAAATAAATACAATACAAGAGCAAAAGGCAACTTAAAGATACCGTTTGAAACAACAAGACTCTCAAAATTCTCAATTACATATCATGGTCCCTATCTATTTAACAAATTAGTTTCCAGAAACGAATCACCATTAAACCTAAACAACGAACACTATCTGTAAATAAAGCTAAAATCTGCAATAGTCAAATTTAACAACTATAAGGGATTTTTTTAAATATTAATAAAAAAATTAAAAAAAATGTAGCTTAACTTTAAATACAAATCGATAATAAAAAATAATAATATTAATAACAAGGTATATATGTACAACAAACATATATACCACGTATGCAACTGATTTTTTATGTGTATTACACGTCCAGAAAAAGGTACTCGATGACAAGACTGACTTAAGTCTCCTGCGAGCTTCCTACAACTACTAACAAATAATTCTTCTTATCAATCTTACACGAATTTCGTTTTTATTATATTTATACACAAACATTAGTTTGAAATGTGGTAAATAAACTCATAGTCAAACATCTTAACACTTCTCCGAAAAATCAGCTAATTTATTTTTATTTATTGTATTTTTTTATTTTAACTGGAATAATATAGAGATATATTTATCGGATTATTTTTACGTACACATTACTACATTGTTGTAATTGGTGTTTATTTTAATCGTGTCTTGGAGTTGTTTGCAACTATATTTTTGTATATTTCGTATATTTCGAACTTTGTTTATGATATTTATGTTTGTATATCTTTACCGTCAATCTGTGATTGGTTATTTGTTAATACTTTGTAGTTGTAAAATAAACATGTAAAAAAAAAAAAATTGTATGTATGAAGCGTATTCACAAATTTTCAACCGCAAGCAGGATTTAAAACTCGTTTTAAGTAGTCAGTGAAAACTGATGCGATAATAAACTCTTACTAAGAGTTAATTACAAAGAGTCTTAGTAATTATTTAATCGTGTCACGTTTTCATTGGGTAATTATAATGAACCAAAGCTTCTCATACTTAAGATAAATTGTCCCTACGGGCATTTGTTTTTGAAAGTTACGTT